ATATACAAATTTCTTATTAGAAAGGCGTTTGGAAAAATGTTGACCCTTACCTCTTTATGAACTATGACTTTCTATGATGTATCATGTTTTTCTTATTCTAGAGAAGTTAAGTTAAAATAAACTAGCTCTGATAGAAAAGACAAACAAGTAAAACTTCCTACAAACTGCTGCTTCTCTCATATGTATATTCAAAAAATACTAAGATAACCATGTATATTTATTTCAGAGATAAAACCATAGAGATTACTTTCTACATTGATCTTGTGCAATTGTGAATTATACCACACCTAAAGAATAATATAAAAATACTTATGTCTAATTTAAAACATTCAAAGTAAACATTCAAAAAGAAAATTGCCAGTTTAAAACCTCCTTTCCACCTCTTATGTCCCCTCCCAAGCACCAGCCCTGCATTTCTCCCTACCTAAGGGCAAGTCCTTGACTTCTGTGTTTACTATTACCTCATCTTTCTTTATAGTTTTCCCATCCCATAAGCATACATGGCCAGTATTAATTTTCTGTTGCCTGTTTCAAAATTTTAAGTAAATATGGGTGTGTATAAAGATATTATGTATATATTATATGTACATGCATGTATACTATATATACAATATGTATACTCTGTATATATATATCAGTGTGTGCATGTATACATACATATGCATGTGTATATGTATACATGTATATACATATGTGCACATATAAACATATACATGAATATTAAAATGTATTTTAGGTTTTATATGGATACATGATATATATTTACATATAATATGTATAATTATATGTATATAATTAAATGTATATAAAATCCATAAAACTCTTAGAAAACAATATTGATTACTAAACCTTCTTTGACACTTTCCTTAGTATCTTAACTCTTCCCCATCCCTGCATTCCATCACATCAGTTCCCTCTTTCTCTAATAAAAAGACATGAAAATGAACTTTAAGCAAAAGACTAGATAGATGGATCTGGATGAAAAGAGCTGTGAGAGAGGGTTTGTTCTCTTCTGCTCTTCCACCATGTAAGGACACAGCATTCCTCCCCTCCAGAGGATGCAGCATTAAGGTGACATCTTGGAAGCAGAGAAGAACTCTCACCAGACAGCAAAACCTGCTGGTGCCTTCACTTTGGGACTTCCTAGACACCAAAATTGTAAGAAATAAATTTGTGCTCTTTAGAAATTATCCAATCTCAGGTATTTTCTTATGGCAGCACAAAACAAACTAAAACACAGAATAATTACCAGGCAAGAATCATCAATGCATACTGAGAGTAAAAGTTTGACCAGAAACAGGAGATCAACACATTGGCAAAGTGTTTCTCCACAAGACGTTTAATTCATTATAAAGAGGAACATAATAACCCAACAGTGGAAAACCAAATACCAATTCAAACCAGTGACCCAAATTAACTTGATCAGTTAATTTGGTATAAATAGGTATGACCATGAGTCTCTAGAAAGGATGCACTGAGAAAAACATGGAATCACTGCTGTGGTATTCCTGTCAAAATTAATCCAGATCTAATCACAAGGAAACATCAGCTAATATATTAAAGAGAGGAGATACACATACACACACTCTCTCATATATACATACATATATATGCATATACACATAAATACATATATACGTATGCTATATATAATGTATATTTGCATAGAGGGCAACATATAAGTGTGCATGCATAACAATAAACAAACATGGTAAAATATTACCATCTAGTCAATGTGCAGGAAAAACGCAGGAATTGTTGAATTGTTTGTACTATATTTGCAACTTTTCTATAAGTCTAAAATTATTTGAAAATTAGAAACAAAAAAAGAAAAAGAATCACACCAGTAAATTGTTTTTTTGTTGTTGTTTTTTTGAGACAGAGTCTCTCTCTGTTGCCCAGGCTAGAGTGCCGTGGCGTCAACGTAGCTCACAGCAACCTCCAACTCTTGGGCTCAAGCGATCCTTCTGCCTCAGCCTCCCGAGTAGCTGGGACTACAGGCATGCGCCACCATGCCCGGCTAATTTTTTCTCTATATATTTTTAGTCGTCCAGCTAATTGTTTTCTATTTTTTTAGTAGAGACGGGGTCTCGCTCTTGCTCAGGCTGGTCTCGAACTCCTGAGCTCAAACGATCCGCCCGCCTTGGCCTCCCAGAGTGCTGGGATTACAGGCGTGAGCTACCGCGCCCGGCCTTATATGGCCAACTTTTAAAATACCATTCGCCTTTCAAATCACCTTTCAAGGCTAAAATGCTGCCTCTTCTTGATACCTACTTACTATCTTATATATTCTATAGTTACAATATTATCTAGTTTTTAAATTTTTATTTTTCTTACATTATATATTACATCATGCTATATAGTTACATGTTTTATATTCCCTATTAGACTGCTCCTTAAGCATCAGAAATAGATAATAGTCCTTATCTTCATACTTTAGCAGAGTCCAACATATCTTAGATATAGTGTTTATTAAGTGTTCAGCTTACACAACTGAATTTCTGGCCCTTTTGTTTTTGATATTGGTATATATTTGGGCAGTATATATATAAACAGATTCTACTGACTATACACACATTTGATATGTTTATAGTCTATATTGAATATACTATATAGGAAGAATCATATATATATATATAAATGTCCAATAATTTTAAAAATCCACTTTAATAAGTTGTCTTCAACATTACAAAACCATGATAGCCCTTGAGACAGCTAAAACGTCTGATCCTGCAGGAAAGAGGAAGTTACTTTGCCTCAACAAAATAAAGATGTTTTTGAAGTTACCATAAGGAAAAAAATTACAAGTTAATTGCAGATGTACAGGTTTGCAAATCACGAACCTACTCAAGGTATTGGCTATTGAAAATCTGCTCTCTTTTCAAAAGGCATTTTACATAACTCAGAAGTCATACACCGTATGTCCTTTTGAAGCTATTGTTTCTATTTCTGAGTTTTTGTGCTTTTCATCTTTTGAAATGCTAGTTAACTTGGAGGTCTCGTAAGGTCTAATTAAAAAAAAAAACTATTAGACATATCCAGCTAGCTAAGAGATTCAAGAGATCAAGAAACAGGGTGATATCAATTATTATTTCAAAACATATTTGCTGTTATCATGTACTCAGAAAAGCGAAACAGATTTTATCCTTTAATTATTACTAACTAAACTACACAGACTTCTAGTGCTTTTTATTTTTTTGATATTGTTTTTTCCTAATTTTATTCTGTATGAAGCCACTGGAGATAAACATAACTAATATTTGAAGACACACTTGTAAGTTTCAAAATCGGTTTCTATAGCAAGGCTTCCTTGCCCAGGTCATAAAACTGTAAACTTGTAAAACTTGTAAACACTTGTACCTGCTGGTTAAGAGAAATTCAGTTAGGCATAATCTCATCCTTCCATTTTAATCTTCACAACAACCTACAACGTAGAACTTCTTTTTAACATCATTTTACAGATAATGAAACTGAACAGTTGGTAACTTTTTAAAAGGTCTCTAGGCTAGCCTATGGCTAAGTAACATTCCAGAGGTTAGGGAACTAGCAAGGGGCAGACCAAGTCTGGCTCTTGAACTCAAGTTCTTGTCTTCATGCTATTCTGCCTTCCTATTAGCACAAAGTATTAGTCAAATCAAGTTTAGAGAATATACCACAGTAATTTCTGTGACATGGATGAAAGCGCTGACATGTGGCCACGTTTTCATTTAGATTTATGGAATTAGAAAACAATGATTAACTGATACCTACTCCATAAACTTAATCTAAAGACAGCTTATTTCATTTATTTTCTGATTATACTCTCATTATTAATCACACAAATAACAGCAGCAGTTCTGCAAACGTTTTTTGCAAAGAACCTGAAGAATTTACAAACTCACAGCACTCTGGCGTTTTTTCAGGTGAGCTACATAAAGCTCAATATGAATGGAGTATTGTCATGAAAGCGATTTGCAAACAACTTAGTATCAATATCTAGATTTTATTTTGTATTTTTCTTTCAAATTACTGCCGAAATACTTTAACGTAAACAGCCCATTCCACTCCCATTTGTCATTTTATCAAGATCATATAATTAACATTATCTTCCCTTGTTTTATTTTTTAAAGCACTTTCACATATTCCCCTAAAACATCCGTAGGGTCTTGCAACAATTAAACAAAACAGTTTAACTGCCTGTACTTCAAGTTTCGTCACTGGAAAACGGAAAAACAAAACACTAGTCCAGCATAGCTGCATCCTGAGACTTAGCAAAGGATAAGTCTACGATGACTGTGCCAAACACGTTAACAGGTGAGTGGAAAAACCATCTCCGCGGTGGCCTTCCCTTCTGGTTTTCCTGTCTCAATGCCCAAAGGCGCCGGGAGACTGGCGGCAGCGACCTTCCTGCCGCATCTCGTGCCCAGTAGGCCTCGATCCTTTCACTTTCCCAGTGGGTTCAAGGCTGAGACGCAGTTTGGGAGTACAGAGACACGGCTTCGAAAAAGGTTTCCACCTGTCCCCAAATTTCCAATTTGCTGGGGAGGGAAGGAAAAACTGAGGCGACAGGAGGTTCTGCTCCAAAGAGGAGATAGAGACGAGCCCGGTGGGGCCGGGATAAAGCAGGGGAACAGGCAATAAAACTAACGTAGACAAAAATAGAGGATAGGAGTGACAGGGTGGGGTCGTTAAAGGGTCTCCAGTCTCCCTGCTCTGCACCTCCCGGGGCCAGCCGGAGGGGCGCGGGGTCAAAGGGCGTCTGAGGAATGCGGGCAGCAGATTGGCTGGCGGGCGGGCGCGCAGGCGCTCGCTGTGGAACTCGTGCCCGCTGCAGCCGCGCTGCGGGGCCCTGAATCCTGCGGCTACTCACCGGGGGCTGGGGATCGGCCACCAGCAGGGACTCGGCCGGCAGAGCGGTTGAAGCTGGGAGTACAGAGAAAGCCACGGGCTCCACACCGCGAGCCCAGCCAGCCCCACCTCCCCTAGGGCGCGCAGGGCGTTCCGGGAGACCTGAGGGGCGGGACCGAGCGGGCTCGCTGAGTGGGCGGGGCTCGGGTCCTCCCAGCGCGGGTCCAGGACTCTGCCGGCGGGAGGCGCGGGCCGGAAGAGGGGCCGGCGGTCAGGGAGTTCTTTACACGTGGTTGGAGTCGGGCTGGCTATCCTGTGTCTGCAGCTAGAGATAACTCACTCCTCTCTAAAAAACTGTCTTCTAAGGTTCAGCTGGAAAGCTCTAATATAGGACACTGTTTTGTTTTTTGTTTTGGTTTGTTTTTGATGTGAGGCATTCAAAAGTTGCTTTTAACTAGGGTACACTGTAGGTTTTCAAACTTTGAGGAACCATTTTGGCTTTTTTTGTTTGTTGTTTCTTTTTCTTTTTTTTTTTTATTTCAGCATATTATGGGGGTACAGATGTTTAGGTTACGTGTGTTGCCCTTGGTTCCCCGCCCCCCAAGTCCGTGTTTCAAATACGTCCATCCTTCGGGTAGTGCACATTGCACTCCTTGTGTATACAAATACCCTTCCACTCCTCCCTCCTCCCCCCTCCTC